GTGAATTGTAGGCATTTTTATCACTAGTATGTCTTTCAGTACTCTTTTAAGGTTGGTTTGTTGTACACGAATTAATTTAGTTGTTCTTTGTCATGTAAGTATCTTATATCTCCATTAAGTTTCAAAGAGAGTTTTACAGGGTGCATCAATCTGTATTAAAATTTGTTTTCTTTCAGGGCTTAAAATACTTCACTCTAAGCTCATTTTAATTTGTGCCTTTTCTTTAACATCTTTTAGTATTCCCTCTTCATGTTGTATGTCTGGGATATTATTATATGCCTGGTATAGATTTATTTTGGTTATGACTGGCATTGTATATACCTCACTTATCATATCAGATTCATTCGCCATGTTTGGGAAATTTCTGCTATCATTTTTGCAAATAGTTTACCAATGTCATTTGCATCAACTCTTGCATCTTTATTGATGCCTATTAGTCTTATATTGTTCTTTTGGCATCGTTTTGAAGTTGTAGAATTGTCAATTCATGCTGCCTTATTATTTTTAAAAGTTTTTTTTTTTTTTTTTTTTTTTTTTTTCCCATGATTGCTAGCTGTGATCCGGTCCTCAAGGTCTAAAATTCTATCCTCAATTTCATACAAATGATATCACCAGCTTTCAATAGAATTTTTTTTTTATTTCCTGGATATCTCTTTGAATTTGTTTCATATATTCTGGTGTTTTATTTCTATATTGCTCATTCAAGGTTTCCATGATTTTCCCATGTTCCTGTATTTTTTTTTTTACCTATGCTCTATCTAATTCTGAGCAACTCCTTTATTAAGGTTGTCATTTGTGTCTTTACATGAGATATTATTTCTAATCTGATTTCCTCTATAGCCTCATGGATTTGTTTCTTTATTTCACTTGCTGTCTTTTCAGAAATTTTAGGTGTATGACTTCTAACATCCTTTATTTCAGTGTCTCCCACACATGTTCTTAATGGAAGTTTGAAAAAGCATTTTGTTTTTTCATTTTGTCATTTTTACCTCATGTGTGTCTTAAGGTCCTACTGTTTGGTTGATGTTTGTCTAATTGCTGAGTCCCACAATGAAGGGAAGGAGTCAGTCACCTGAATTCCTCCTTTAGGGCCTGCTGGTTGAGTTCTATATTCTTCCTAGGCTGACTGGCCCAGGAGTATTGATGCAAGTCAATCCTTAATTCCTATTGTTTCTATGGCTTCAGGAATGGAAAAGAAATTATTATCTGGACAACTAACAAACTGAAGTATACTGGCTGGGGAAAGGGGCATTTTCTGCTACAATATGAAACTGCATTCAGAAAATAATATTCCATCTACAAAAGCTTCCATTGATCCAACTTTATATATTTTGTATATTTGAGCACTTAAGCAAAATATTTCAAACAAGAAAAGTGCATTTTTTCTGATACCTCCAATCACTTGAGAACAAATAAATCTACAAAAACTCCTGTGCAAGGAGAAATTGTTAAGAAGTAAGTGTCAACAAGTATGACATATTTTAGTTTAGAAATGTAACCAAGTCAAAAATCATTTTAACTTATGTTATGACTTTTGTCTAAAGGGTAGGAAAAGAATTTGAAGAGTTTTAGGGCTGGGGGCTATGATACTTGTAAAAATTCAAAACTAAACACAAAAATAGTTTCTGCTTCCATGGTAACATAAAGAATAGCAATACATACAGAAAGGGAACGTTGACAATAAAAACCTAAAATCTGTTCTTTTTCAAAACAAGCAAGACAAAATCTTAACCTTCCACTAAGTATTAATTACCCTGAAAATACTGAATTTTATCAAAGCAGAAGTCATAATGATAGGATTTTATGTGACTGAACATTTTCATAATATGTGTTTGTTATAGGAGCATTAGAGACAGGTCATTGAAGCTAAACAATATTAAAGGAAGTTGCATTTTTATCTTCATCTTAGCCTCTGAAAGAACATTTCAGCTTTTATCTTTGAAATAAAATAAAAAATAATAGAAAACATAAGTAGAAATAACAAGTAAGGAGAATAACTGGTGCTAATGGGCCAATATGAGAAATAGGAGATGAGTAATAAGTAACAATATTTGAGACAAATCTTTAATACATTTTATACACATTAAAGTTAAAATATTAAGTAGTTTACCCATAAATTACTCTATAAAGTTTATGATATTGCAAAACGAAGTTCTTTTATTTTCAACAGTTTCCATTTTCATTATGAAGCTAATAAATAAATACAAAATGTGAGGTAAAAGTGAAAATTTCTATTCCAATTTCTTGTTAGATTTATTCTCTTTAGAACAATCTGTATTCCTGACAAATAACAATGCATTTCTAGTAGGTCATAGCACTCATAAATATATGTTATAACTATACAGAAAGATATTCATTTATATTTTTCATAAGTAAATCACTGAAAGTAAGAGACACTCTAGATTTTTTTTCCATTTTGTATTTTCAATGTCAGTATTTATACATTTTTGGCTACTCTTGGAACTATATACTATTCCATACTATCTATTTATCTATCTATCTATCTATCTATCTATCTATCTGTACAACTATTTAGTTTTTAATAGATATTACTTGTATATATCTGTATACAATACTAATAAGTATTAATATAGGTTAAATTAAATATGGTTTCTGGGGCTGGGGATTTAGCTCAGTGGCATAAGCACCTGCCTTGCAAGCAGGCAGTCATGAATTCAATTCCTGGTACCGATAAAAACGAAAAAGACAAATAAATAAATAAATAAATAAATAAATATGGCTTCAGTTTCTCACTTGTTATTAAATTGACAATGTAAAGATATTATTAGAATTATGCAGGAGTGGATTTTCTTTATTGATTACCTTTTCACTTTATGAATCCCTAAGATTGATGGTTTTTTAGACCACTGGTTACACTGACAATAGCTAAAATTATTCCTGGACAATGTCTATAAGATACTCAATATTAAAACCTATTGTTCTGACCACAAACACCTTCAGCTATTAATTTGACTAGTTTTTATGTGTCTCTAAAAATCACAAACACTGTGCCACGTGCCGGGAATGAAGATAGGATTACAAATGACTGGGAAAGTTTCTTTCTGGATATTTAAAATTTTGTGCATAAAGTAGTAGTTAACAGTTATGATCTGGGCATATGGTGTCATTCACACAAATATGGGTATATGATTATTCTTTTTAACAGTAACCTTACCACCTTATTGAATTTTTAAAGGTCTTTTATCTGAGGTATTTTCTCATTTAGTTTACATTAGAATTACAGAGAGATCACAGGATTTTTTTATTTCTGTATGTCATCATGGTACAGATGATTAATTGTTGTTTTCCCATAACCTGTTGGAATGGATTATAGCAATCAGTTCTGAATGCCCATTCAATTTGAGGAGCAGCCATGTGTGTCTCTGATGCCAAACAGTTAGTAATTTTGGACCTAGCTTTATTCAAGTTACATAGCTTTGACCAAAGAGATATATACATAATACATGGTGGACTATGGATCCTCTAGGAAGCTTTTGATTTTTCCTAATTAAAAGCAGACAGAACACTTTGTTTTTCCTCACTATACTTTTCCTGTCCTGAATGAAAGCATACTATGTGAAGGAGCTTCATCAAATTCTTCTGATCAGCTAATGATGTGAAAGTTAACTGCAGGCATCTAAGAATGGAAAGATATGATTCCTGATTTTCTCAGGGAATCATTTATGACCCAAGCAAATGTTCACATTTGACTACATTCAAACTTAGGTGAGAAAAGTAAAACCCACATCTTTATTTTCCTGTGTTTTTTTAACTTTCATTTTTATTTGTTCATGCTTGAGGTACATAAGATTACAATCAATGTGGGAAGTCAGTACATGTGCGTAACATAGCTTAATTCTTTTTATGTTCTCTTCTGTCCTTCTCTTTTCTCCTCCCTCCAAACTTTTGAAACATTTAAATGAATTTATCAGAATTCCTCTGATTTCAGGTGCTATGGGTCTTTCATTTATTATAAATAAATACAACAATAAGTTGAATCATTTAAAATATTTTTCTGTCTTCTACCTGTATTGTTGTTTCTATGATCTTCTATCATAAACTAATTTTCCCAAATGCCTTAGTTCAGAGATTTGGTTTTAAATATTATCTTGCATGAGTTGAAACTTTGGAACTCTACTTGAGTTTTTAATTATTGATTTTTTCACTTTTCAGGAAAATATTAAATCACATAGGGCCTTCCAAAGTATAGTATAGGGCCCAGTGTGCTCCTGATTTACAGTAGCAGAGTCACTGTGTAGCCTTGAACCCACATATGCTGGAGGGATTACCTTTTGCAAACTTAGTTCACTCTAACCAAGAAATTTTACACCTTAGAAAGAATTCATTGCTGTGATTCTCATCAACTTCTGCAATAGCTTGCTACCAGCTATCTCCAGCTCTGTTTTGAGAACATTTTCCAGAAATTCCAAAGTCTTCCTTTCAGTGTTACCATGGAGTAAGGCTGCTCAAGACAGAAGACTCACAGCCCAGAACCTTGTGGAAGAGATATTTTCCAGAACTCACATGGAACACAAAAGTCTTTCTTATGCTCTGATAAGTTTCTGACAATTGGATTGACACAACGAAATTTTTCCCTAGGATTTTAGTCAGCCCTCAGTGCTAACTTATGTAATTAAAAATTTTATTGAAATTCGAAACTCATGGAAATCCTGATACTCAAAAAAATTAACAGAAAAAAGCATAGAATAACTATATAATAATGCATAATCATAATTTTCTCATCATGATACACTGAAATGGACCTAAAATATCTGGCTATTTTTTAAATGCAATTTCACTGAATTATCCTTTGCTTTAATTTTGCACCACTGTTTTAGCATGCTTGGGACCGTAAAATAGCCAAATTAGCTATTGGTTTGAATCATTATTTGTTTACTCAACTAAGAACTTACTGTTATTAGTGTAAGAGCCATGATGTGCACTAACGATTTTACCCATATTTACTCCCATAAATTACTAAACTGATAAAAAGAGTTTACCTGGTTTCCTCCCATGCCATGACAATTGAATATACCCACTTTTTCATTTTCTTTCCGGCCCATGTTGTCTAAACATTGATTGGTTTCAACATTTCTTATCTAAATGGAAGACACACAGAGAAGAGAAAGTAAAACATGAGGCAAATAGTCATTTGAGTCAGAAAATCTGTGATATTATTAAACTACATTGTTAACTAAATGCAAGTTTGTAAGGAAATTCCAAAATTATATTTTACTATAATATTTATTTTGCTTTTTCCAAATCTGTCTTACTCCTAGTTTCTAAACTCCTGCAGAAGTAAACTGGAAGGAGCATCACTGTTTTTAGTTAGTATTAACATCAAATTAAGTTATAGTATTTAGAATAGAAACATCTGCATAAATTAGATATTTTTCTCAATTCCTCTAAAAACTAAGACTAAAATTTCCCAAATAGACATCATTCATTCTTAAACTCTAATAATACCTACCACAAGTAAGGAACACTCAAATTTAAAGAGTGAACCAGAGAGAGAGAGAGAGAGAGAGAGAGAAAGAGAGAGAAGAGTGAACCAGAGAGAGAGACAGAGAGAGAGAAAGAGAGAGAGAGAGAGAGAGAGAGAGAGAGAGAGAAAGAGAAATGAAGTCCTGTCGTTAATGTCTCTCCAAAACCTTCCCTACTTTGACCACACTTATCCCATTGTTCTTGCCACTTCCTAAAGTGGCACTGAAATTCCTCTTTCCTAAGTAAATTTATGACAGTGATCAAAAACACAGTGAATGCTGTTGCTGCATCCGTTCAATGCAAAGGCAGCCTCACAAAAACATTATGGTTGGCCTCCTGCCTTATTCACCAGATCTGGCACCAATCTAATTCTGGCTCTTTTCCAAAGTCAAATGGAACATGAAATGTAAAAATTAAGGCAAATTCCACTCAAATGACCGCATTTCATTCTTGCAAGGAATTAATTCAGAACATCAAGGCTGCCACAAAAGCATAACTAAAAATATATACTTAGAAAAGAGGATTTATAGAATTGCTTCCAAAAGTGTTAAGAACAAGAACAACAAGATGCTTTAATTTTATAATTTAGACAACTGTTTCTAGGAAGACAATATGTAACCTATTAACTAGTGATTTTTTACTGTATATTTTTTTCTTGAAATTCTATATTACTTGTACCCTTTTACTGCTTTTTTAAATGTCCTTTCTTTTTTCTCTTTAAATTAAAAAAAAAGAACAAGAAGATATGCTTCAGTTGAGAGGCAATATTTTGAGGGGGGGCCATGTATCATTTTTGTAATAGATTTTTAAAATTTAAAAACATACTATATTTTATCATACCTGGTATGGTCTATCCTGTGTATTAATAAATATTAATTATGCCATTTATTTCTCTTTGACTGAGACATATGCATGTTATCTTCTTTCATTCATGTTGCCAAACTTAATTGAAAGTGCTTGACCCTAAGAGAAGCTATTACAAAGCTAAGTACAATTTCAGATTATAGATTATTCAGAATCAAGATTAAACTACCAACTGTGGCCATAAGATTCTCAAATACATTAGTCCTCTGATTAACATAAGTTAATAAACATTTGAGAGAAATACAATTACAAATATCATTTATCTTAAAAATGCCAAAAATTACTAAATCAAGCACAAGTTACTATAAGAGGACAAAGAGGAAGAAGAAAAAGGATCTTTCTGCTGAATGATTTGCTTCAGATAGTTTTCCCTTATTTTCTTAACTCCAAATATATATTTGCAATTATCCATTCTGCTTCTGAGAATTTTGTGTCTCTAACCTTTATTACTATATACATACGTTACTGTTCCCTCAGTAAAATTACTTGTGTATCTCTACTTAGCTATCTGTTGAGTACACATTTTATACCTTTGCAAATGAGTAAGATTAGAAATTTATTATACAAAATTATAGAAGATGGATGAAGTTTATACGATTAACTTTTCTTACGTTGAAGAACCTCATGGTCAAGAACTGGTTTGTGGAGCTGGGAGAAGCATCATTTTCATTGAGATCCCACTCAGAAGACGGGAATAGTGACACCAAAATTCACACTTGATATGGGTTGGAAGCACAGATCAAGTCATCAGGGATAAAATAGGGAGCAGTGAGGGATAACTTAATCAATAAATTTGATTAGAAAATACAAAGCACAGAATAAATATTGCAGGAAAAGTATTTATGCTTCCAGAAGCAAGACACATTTGGACAATATAGGCTTGAAATGTCTCCTCAATCTGATTTTTCTTGGTTCAGAAATTGGAAGGGACTGAGCCTATAGGCCAAAGACTTTCCAGGATCTGTAGTTAGACAGTATTGAGGAGGCTAATAATTGATAGATGATATGGTAAATGTCTCTCTATGTGCTATACATAACTAAAAATTTTCTGACTGATTAAATTATAGACCATGTAAGTAGAATTGTTTTGAAATCTTTTATATTGGACTCCTGGTAACTTTTCATAAAGATAAAGTTTTTGAAAAGCAATAAAATCATTTGTTATTCTTGCAATTTAATGCCATAAAATATACAACTTTATACTGTCATTATCCTTAGAGAAATAAATGTTTCACAAAATAATATTCTTTCAGATGTAATATACTTTATCTGATTTAAAGGACCTCTGCTAAAAGCATGGTATACTACTTGCATAGATACTAGTTAATACTCACAAATATTTATGGACTAAGGCTGTGTGTGTGTGTGTGTGTGTGTGTGTGTGTGTGTGTGTGTGTGTGTGATGGCCCCCCTTTACTTGACAAAACAAAATTCAAAGTGTATGCCACTGTATACTCTGATATATACCTGATAATTTAACACATGAAGTGCTGAAAGTTATGTACAGAATTTAAGAATATCTCACAAATACTTTGCCTTCAGGAACAACACATGATAGCTTCTTTTTGTTTGCAGTACTTTTCATGTATTAATTCAACCAAGAAACATTATTGAGAGACTACATATATCATGTCAAACACCATTTGAGGGTGGAAGATACAGAAGTGAATAAAATATACATACTCTTTTCCATTGTGGAACTCACATTTTAGAAGTAAAGAGTGTGATAAACAAATAGATTTATAACATATCAAAGCATCAAAAAATCTTATGAAAAAATATAAAGCACAGTAAGGGTAGAAAAATTTATGTAGAGGTGTCATTTTGGAAAGATGAGAAAAGTTCATTCTGAGGAGAAGATATTAAAGAGACACTTTAAGCAGTGAGAAAGTGATTTTTCCACCTAAAGAAGAGCATTTCAGGCAGGATCACATCTAATCGATGTCGCTGATACATGGCAGGAGGATACTGAAATAATAGTCTAGCAATTTGGCCAGGTATGAAACAAGGAGACCAAGGGGCAGGCTAAAGAGGTACTGAAGATTGAATAATGTAAAGAATCATAACTCTTTGAGTGTAAGCACAGCATGGTAATAATTATTCTGGCTTTTGTCAGGAGAACAGATTAGAGGCGGGAACTGGAAGCAGGGAAACAGGTCGGGAACATGTTGCAATTAGGTTAGCAAAAAGAGAATAAGTGCTTGGAACAGAAGGGTGAGAATAATAAGGGTGGACAGTTCAGACTTGGAGTGTTTTTAAAGGAAAAACAGAAGGATTTTCAATTAAATTGGATATGAACTGTGAGAGAAAAGAGGCCTCAAGTAATATCTAGAGTTTAAGCCTGAGAAAATGGGTGAATGATGTTTTCTTCACTGGGAACAATATTCTGAGTTCTTGTATGCTGATAGCTAACATTGTCCTTTATACTTGAAAATCACTTTGGTACATTTGAAGTCTTGACTAACAATACGTTGTCTGGAGTACCTTTAAGACGTTCCTGCATTTAATTCCATGATAAAGTATCATGATAATCTGGCTTTTGCTCCTTATTATACTTATCATATTTTCCTTTTATTATATTTACTGACTTTTTCTTTAAAATATAATAGATTTATTACAATATATCTTGGTATTCTCTATTATAGATTATTTCTTCAGGTATGTAGTATTCTTTTTCACTATGTAGCTTCAATTTTACTTTTAGGAAAGTATCCCTGAATTATAATTATTAATATTCATTTTGTTTCATTGCATTCAATTTTTATTTAGGAAGAATATTATTATTTTGATTATTGTTGCTCATTTTCTGTGTAAGCCATTCATGATCAAACAATTTTGAATCTATTCTTTATTTAAAAGTTCCTCCTTTTTTCTTCTGAAATCCCAATGACATTTTCTTTTTGAACTATTGATCACAAGTTCTGAGATGTTTAGTGTTCATTGTTGAAATTATTTTTTTCTTTCATTTCTAATTTTTCTTGTATTCTAGGTGCTCATTTCAGAGTTTTCCTAATTTGATTTATAGACTGATTCTGTATTTCAACATATTCAACATTTATTTTAACTTCTTTTTAATAATTAGGTTATATTTTTCCTTTGGCTTACCAGAATAGAGTTTTGGTGTGTTTGCATTATTTTCAAAGACACTTTGTTCTTAATATTTACAGTCTTGCAATATTCATATTTTTAGTAATATTTTTACCATTTGCATAAAACCAATTATTCTGATATTTTAGTCGGGAGGAATTGTTGGTGCAGTTATTCCTAACTTCATAAATTTAAAACTATCTATCTTGTATTTTTGGAAGCACACCCCCCCACCTCCTTTTTTTTTTTTTTTTTTTGTTTGTTTGTTTGTTATTGACTGCTTGGATCTGTTTATCTCGTCCCTTTTTAGGTGAACCTTTCATTTTTTTGTGTGCCTATATTTCCTAACCTCTCAATTTGTGCTTACTTTTTTGAAGTTTTTCCAAAGAAGGTACTTCAAGTAATGAACTTCAAGAATTTATAGATTTCAGGATATCTGTGTGTCTAGGGAGGAGACTTTTCACTCCATTGGTTATTATTATTAAAAAAGCTGGAAACCTTCTCATGAGTGGCTCACCTCACAAGTGGAAATTTGAGTGCCTCCTTCCCATCCGCTCACTTCTATGACACACCACTTAGTTTCCCACTGTTTTGTTATACAAAGATTTTTGCATCGTGTGGGCCAGGAAACAGTCGGCTCATAGTTTGAAATTTGTGTAAATACTTGTCAAAGGTAGCTGTTAGTCTTTTTTGGCTTTACTATCCTGGTTTTCTTTCTGTTTAATGGGGGAATTAAGAAACATTCAAAACTGCTGAATGTTTCCAAGAACTCTGAAGTAGACTTATTTTCAGGACTACCTAAAAATTTACCAAAAAAATCCTATATTTGATGTGTTCTAATTATTCCATATTCGATATGGTTTGGTAGTTTCTGATACATAATAAAATGTGTGCATTTCAGCGTCCAGATGCCAAAAGGATATGATATAGATCAGGCTGACTGGATACCGAAGCTGGGGGAATAACTAGATGCTGAGCTCTGTGGTTTAGAAAATGTCACAATGAGATCAAAACTCTCTCAAACATCTGAAAGTTCTAAACATTCTACAACACAGGAATTCCTTCAAATCATAAATGTTGTAGCTGTCTGTGCAAATATGTATTAAAACAATAATGTTAGAATACATTTCACTTAAAATATTAGAAATGTGAAGTAAGATTTTTTTTTTTTTTTTCACACCATACTGTATCCTATTTTGGTCACTGGTTAGTTACCCAGCCTAACACTCTTTAAGGTTAACATCTGATGAAGACTGGCATATTTTGCCTATTGATATGTATACTCTGTTACTCTGGAAGAAATATAAACTGTATTCTAAAGATTTTTGAAAATAAAAACATGATAACAACATCCATATGGGTGTAAATCAGCTAAAGAGAGACTTTCTTACTGCTTATCCTATTAAAGGGTCAGTGAATCTATAAATAAATCTCCAGACTACCAACCAGAGGGTAAACCTTTAAGCAGTTTAGTTTCTGCATTTTTCAGCAACTGATTTTACCTTTAAATCCTTCAGCTTGGCAGCTTTATAAATGTCTATTTTTAGTTATTAAAATTTCCTTTAAAATATTTTTAAAATGCAATGCCATATATGCAAGGACATTAATAGGTTGCTATGGTTTAAAGCACACTTAGAAGAAAAGGCAAGTACACAATGCAAAATTTACAGTCTCCTGTCAAAATCTCTTCAGGCAACATAAATGCAAATTTTAACAGAAAGACTTAAGTCACTCGGCTTTAGAAGATCTCTTCTTTTTCTTCCTGATACCTTTGTCCTAAATATCTCACAATACAATTAATATCCATCTATCTATTTACCTATCTGTGTATCTACATTTTTTTGAGAACGGTATCTTGTCTCATAGTTTCAAAATTTAGGCCCAAGATAAGCCTGTGCCAGTTTTCAATCCTATACTTGAATTATTTATGTGAACAATATCAAAATCTATCATGTTAAACCTACATAAGCTGAAGCGTTATGTTAGATCTACATAAGCTTAATGACTAGTTAAGAGATTTTAATGCTGCACAGAGCTCAGCCTTGTTATTCCTTTATGAGCTGCTTACTGAGTTTAAAAGGCACATGCTTCATTAAGTTACTTAAAGGTTTTAGTTCAAAGAAATTTCACAGCTTTTAACTTCTCACTGGAAACTGTATTAATTTATGGGCTGGGTAGAATATTACTTCAATTATTTACATAAAATACAGACATGTAAGATATAAGCTTACAGCTGTCTGGTATCAGTAACTTTACTGATGTTTCTTTTGTTGATACAAGATAATAGAAAAAACTGAATATCAAATTTGTTTCTATATTCTTCCAATACAGCAAGGAAATTCACAAATAGAAATGTAATAACCATCCCATGGTACTATTAAGCAAGGGACCGTTTAGAAAGTGAAATTTTAGGAACATATACATTGTTACATCCTAAAACTTTCATTGAAAAATGACAGGGAAGTACAAAACATAAATGTCAAAAATAATTTTGTTTGATGACAAGTGATTTGTACATCTGATATAACTTTGGAATCTAGTTATTAGAGAGAAAACGCCTTCTTATATAAATAAGATAGCTTTTTACATTCTCCCAATAATAATTAATGTAGTGAATGAAAAGCAGTAAAGAAGAAAAGGCTTTGAATAAATGACTTGTGCATTAACAGTCCAACACTAACTCATTATCAGGAGGTCCATCTTAAATTATTTATACATGGCTGCACGAAATTGAATTGAGAAGTAGTGTTTGGTGAATTTGCTCTTCAGTTTCCATGGAAACAGATGCTGGCTTGTATTTTTTTAAAGCTGGTTTTAAAGTGGAAAACTATAGCACATTAATACCCAGAAAGCTCAAAACTTAATATATTTCATAAATTTTTTTAAAAATTTGGCTTTGTGAAGCAACAGCTGACAACATGCCATATAATTGGTATGTAACACATTTAATTTCTACCGATTTGCTTTTCCTGTTTGCTCATCTTTAGCCATCCTCTACCCATTTCAGTAAAATGGCTTAGCAGCAAATATCTTTCTTCATTTGGTCTCACACCCTGAGAATATAACAAAGGCTTTCACTGAAGCTCTTGTTTAATAAAAGCATTTTAAAAAAACAAAATATAATAAAATCAGGTGTTTTGTCTGTCATAATAAAACAGCAAGTTTTCGTGTTATAAAGTAGGTATTTGAAACCTGACTTCAATCATTAATGAGGTATTTCATTCATACGCAAATTACACAGGCAAACACATTCAGATCAGTTTCCTTAACAAAACCCAAGTCATAGAGTTATTGTTATTTTTACATAATGTGATTCACATACAGCACATAGAACAATTTTTAACTTGAAAGAAATCAGTAAATGGTGGTTATAATTATAAGAACCATAACTCCTAGGGCTACTACTTAGTGCCAGGGATTGTGTTGTGTGCCGTCTCCACTCATCAATAAATCCCAGTAAAAGAAACTTCCTTCTGCTGATCAAGGTACTGAGAAGTGAGGGTAGAATTTGAACCTTCTGCCTGACTCCAGACTCTGGAATTTTTCTAGCAAACTATGCTAGCTTGGTGGACATGTTTCTAAAGTCCTGACAAGTTGAAGGTCTCTCTTTAAAAGATTTTCACAAACAATTTTTAGAAATTAATTTTGGCCATCTGATTTACTTCAGAAAATAGCTAATTCAACAGAATAAGTTGTAGAAAGAAATTTTCCACACTATTTTAAAGAAGTCAATTAGGCTTCCTTGACATAAGGCATGAAGATATACAATTAGATTTTTAATTTGGAAATACATAATTTATTCTGATACAACGTACTGAGTTTTTCTCAGGATTTTCCTTGGTAGTCCAAGGGAATTTGCAAAAAGTCTTCTTATTTTCTTGTCTTTGTTTAGCTACTTACCACATCGTTTATTAATAAAAGAAATATTGTTTATTCATCTTTTTTGTCCATTGACAACAGAGAGAAAATATTTTGTTATTAGAGAAACACATCTTTCTTCTAAGTGTATAGTGAAATAATTGGTTAAACAGACCTCACAAAAGACATGAGAGTGTTAGCTATTTTATCAACTATCTTCAGTTGATTACAACACAAAGCTTATGTTATTTAAAAATCATTCTCATATAAGCTATGCGTAGAGTATAAATCCTTGTGAGATCAGCATTCACACGGGTATAACATATTTATAATAAATGGTAAAAATACTTCCTTATCGAAACAAATAAACAATAATAAAAATATACTCTGAGAGGCAGGACTCTATATTCACATACCTAGAAAATATAAATCAGTACCATTACACACAAAAATTTTCAATACATTATTCAGATTAAACTTGTGAATTGTAGATTCTCTGAACAAATATAGGCACAGTTAATGAGGAAGTAGAGATTGAACTTATAAGGCTGTATAAAGCATACAAAACAATCATTAAAAACAGTTCAATGAGGGTTAATGAGGAAGTAGTGACTGAATTTATAAGACTGAATAAAGCATATAAAACAATAATTAAAAACAATTCAGTGAGGGTTTCACTCAGATAAGGCATTTTTTTCTTTCATATTCTACTTAATTATGCATGAAATATGTCTAGATATTCTCAGAGCACTAAGCAGATTGATCAACTAAATGTTAGCTTGATCTATGTAAGTTGCTAGATACTCTACCATCATGACTCACAAATGTGGCAATTTAAATCTAACATCATGCTTAAATAATAAATTTTTTGCTATATGCATTTTACTATTGTTAATGAAATGCTTCTATCTGCACTAATATTAAGTTAACTATGATTCAGAAACTTAGTACCATTTGATAAATTAGTAGAATGAAGCATATAAATAAACGTATAAATAATTCTTATTTTAATACAATTACATATATATTAATACATGTTGCAGAGTAATGATGAAGCCAATAATATAATTCTAAATAAAATATTTTGGAAAACAATGAAATAAAATATTTTGGAAACAATGACAGTCTTGTAACTTTTATAATAATACCACAACATGACTTATAGTCTTCATCAACTTCCTAAGTGTGTATGAAGAGTTTTTTCAAATGATTGTGTCGTATTTTAATAGGTTGAGTAGTGAAGCACTTATGAAAAGACAACTATCTTCTATTAAGCAGACATTAGCATATTTTATAAAAATTTAAAATAATTTGGTGCCAGTATTTCCACTATTTGGTTTTAATTAAAAGACATTTAATTTTAAAAATATTTATTGTAAATTGTCATGTAATTGATTATTACATTGTTTTAATGAATTGTATAGTTTTAAATTCTTAGTTTTAGTTTCAAATAGTAATATTTCTAGCCCTTGTAAATAAAAAGTTCTTTGAAGTTCACAAAAAAATTTAACAGTTATGGTTTTTATGATCAAAAGTTTTAGAAATGTTATTTAAAAATCAAGAAAATGTTATTTCTTCAATATTAAAAACTTCCTTTACTTTTACCATTTCCTATGATTAGGACCTTTATCGTCCTTGAAAAAATGTCATCTTAAAAAAATGTCATCCAAATAGATCTATTTAAAAACTCTTACAGCATTTATTCAGTACATGGAAAAAAAAAAACTGAGCTCTTTAGAAATTGCTCCATTTGCAAAATACATTTATAACTTAACCAAAATAAATAATTCATACCTCACCAAGTGAATAATAACGTCTCGGGATCTGGGAGTCTGGGTAGATGTTTTCTAGGTACCAAGAAAAGGGCTTACACTTCAGATTTTCTCTTAGTGCTTTTCTGACTGACACGTCTCCGTAATCCACTTTGACAACACCTGCAATTTTTCAGAGAAACATAAATCAGGTTGTGCTATTTTCAGTTCAGCACAGTTTTACCCTGTTTACTCCGTTAGCAGTTTTTTCTCTATAATTATATTTCTATCAAATTCAATTGCATGTGCAGCCGCTACGATACTGATTTTCTTAGTACCATCCAATTAGTGCATTAAATAGACATAAAGAACAGTTCTTCCACTCGGTAGGACTTTGAAATGCAAATATTTAACACAAAGTACTTGTAATTCTTGGATTCAGTAATTATCAGTTAAATGTAAATTTGTATTAATTTACTATTAATCAAAGCTTAGCTAAACTGTGTAATGTGTGTATTTTTCTTTAACAAAAATTTCAGATTTTTGTCAATGCTCTTTTATTCACCATGTGTGTGTTTTGTGAGAAATGTGTATAAATATGATCCTCACAATGACTGCAGATGTTTGAACTTCCCTTTTCTTTGAATTTCTCTTCCATCTAGGCCTTAGACTTGAATTTTCCATAAATTTTTGTATGATTTTATATTATGAGTTACTGAAAACTACATCAAATCCCTGAAAAAGTTGGTAAATGAATAAGTATGAAGAAATCAACATAAACAAACTGGACAAGACAAAAATTCATATATGTAATTACACTGCTTAATTTTATTTCACATAACAGCAAAATGTTTGAAATAAAAAAATATTTTCATTGAAGATCATAAAAGAATGTTTTTGAGAAACAAATGTAACAATGTGTCTAATTTTTATATACAGTCTGTAACATGATTTCACTCATTTTTATCAATACAAAAATAACATTTGATTCAAATGATTAAGTAACTATGATAAGTTAGTAATTATTATCAGAATAGGTTGGAAAGATTTCAATGTTTAAGTAGTATTTGAAGGCCAGTAAGTAGCCACACGCAGGTGTGGGTTAGATTGGGGGCAATGACTCAGGACCTGGGACATTCCATTGCACACATGCAGCAGAATGAACCAATCACTATGAAAAATAAGGACCAATTATCTATGAAACCTAAATATCTGTAGCTAGTCACATTACTATGACTCATTTTCAAAATCTGTTAATAGTTCGATCAACTTTCTCTCTTCAGGAATTTTTTTTCAAAATCGAATGCCATAGTATTGCTAGAAAGCATTTTTATAATACTTAAGAAAAAAATTACTTCCAGAAGAAGACATTAATTTCCCTAGCTGGTATTTAGGCAGAAAGTAACATCTTTGAGGTGTTTAAACAGGTAAGTATTTGTTTTTAATATCTCTCTACAGAATTTCCAATGTGGACTGAAACCTTAAATGAAGAGGTTGGAAAATAAATTTTCATTTATATAACTGGTCACCAAAATATTATATTAACGTCACTACAGCTGAGATGATCACAATATATTATCCTCAAAAATTACATAACAATTATACATGCTACAACATCTAGGCAAAATGCACTGTACCCTCAGAGAGCTTAGTTCCATAGTTCGTTTTACTGTTCTGGTTTCATTTGCGAGGTACATGAATTGAACTGAGATATAAATTTGATATTAGCATTTTTCCTAGAGTTAAAATTTAATTGTCTTAGTCTCAGGATGTTTTCCTGTAGTGATTTTATGAGTGTTTTTCAAACTGGAAGACATATTTGCAGATTCATTTGGATATCATTTTACAATAACTCAGAAGAAATATATGTTGTGGAAGTAGGATTTGGCAAAGCATGATTGGTAGGAGGTAATATAATTTACTAAGGAAACCCAAAACATTTTTAAAGGTAAGGAGTTTCTTACTGGTTCTGGTCAGGAACTATGGGGAAAGAAATGTTCTTAACAACAGAAGATATTGCAGTCCTCTTTCTCTACTATTGGGATAAGAACCAAGGAGGCCTTGGAGTTCAGTGGATCTATAGCTACAAGACTTCTGGAACTTTTCTGTGCTTGTGTGACTTAGTGACTGTGAAATACAGCCGGAATCAAGTTATTTAGATCTGTGGCCGGAAATAGCAGTTCCTTTGTTCCCCAAACTCTTATCTGCAAACCACACCTCTTGAACATAGTTGCAACAACTTTAATGGAATCTCAAAAAGGCAACTCCTAGATGATGCTAAAAGAACAAACAAATTATCAGTGAACTTTACAAAGGTGTCAAAGTAAAGATAAGTATCATAAAATTTTATTCACTGAAATTATTTCAGATTACTTACCAAATATAGAAAATAAGATGGATAACCTGGTAATGAAATGATTAGAATCTGCCATAGACATAACCAGAAAAAAACCTCTCCAAGACATCATATTCAAGATACAAGAACAACAAAAAAAAAAATACTAAAACTTGGTAGAGAAGTATCAAATCACCTATCAGATCAAATCTATCAGAATAGCAGCAAATTTATCAACACAAACCTTAAACTTCTGGAGACCATAGAATGAAGTTTTTCAAACCTTAAAGAAAATACATACTAAACCAGATAACTATACCTTATAAATCTGCCCTTCAGAATTGAAAGAGAAATAAAGACCTTGTGTGATAACAATAGACTATGAAGTCAATGAAAAGTTGCCAAGTAAGAGACACAAACAAACTCCTGTATAATACACTCTTACATAATCAGTGAGTCACAGAAGAAGCTAGAGAAGAAATTAAATATTTCGTAGAATTAAATGACAGTTGAAACATCATAACAGAACATATAGGACACAATGAAAATAGTTCTAAAAATGAAGTTAACTTATGAATTTCTACAATGGAAAAACAGCAATGTCTAATACAACATATTTATGCCCAATGCATAATTATGTATCTCTTGGTCCTAAAAAAAACTTATAATCCAAACTCAAAACTAGTAGAAAAAAGTAATTATCAAGAATAGAGAAAAACTAATGAAATTGATACAAAAATAAAACAATGCAAAGATCAATTCACAAAAAAATTCATCTTTGAAAAGAGAAATGAAATTGATAAAGTCTTAGCTAGTCTTATCAAAAGAAAGAGAAATCAAGTCTAATAAATTAGAACTGGAAAAAAATAAAATTGCAAGGCAGTTGCTCAAGTCACAAAATCAAGGCATAAAAAGTGTACAATCAAACAATGACAGCACAAAACATTCTGTGGAACTAACAAAAAGTTGTATGGTTGTCTATCTTGCACACTTAAACATACGTATAGTTATGTCCTTGAGAGCACTTTCTTTCCCTTTCATTATCACAATATCTATGCATTTTGGATCTTATTATTTCTAGTTTTCATGATAATTTTTTTACTAGAGAGAATATGATATTTACAAATGTGAGTTATTTCACTTATGAGGGTAGTCTCAAGGTGCCTCCATTTACCTATAAAAGCCTAAAGATAATTCTTTTTGATAGCTAAGTGATATTGTATTGTAATAAAAACAACACATCTTTTTCATCTAAATAAAAAAAATAAAACCACATTGTAAATGTTCAAAAAATTTCAAGATAGCACTGAAACCCAGATTATTTGAAACAATTTTTTAAAAGTCTAACCAACAAATTAAGGACTTGATAGAGTTAACACTTACGTGTACCAAAATTTTAGAGAAGAACCATTGCCAACACTCCTCAAACATTTTCGTATAATTGAAAATGAAAGAATGCTTTCAAACTCACTCTATAAAACTAGTGTTACCTTGTTACCAAAACTGGATAAAATTGCAACAAAAAATTAAACTAATGCCCAATATAGTTGAAGAAGAACAGTGATAAAGGCCTCAATAAGATACTTGCCAACATGATAAAACAGCACATAAAAACGATCATTCACCATGAACAAATGGGAATTTTCTAAAGGATATAAGGATGATTCAACATATAAGTCAATAAATGTCATACATAACATAGATAAATAGAAAAGTAATTATGTCATGTGATCATCTCCAAAGATGCAGAAAAAGCTTCAATAAAATTCAATATCCTTTCATGATGAAAACCTTATTGAAAATAAACACAGAAGGATATTCCTTTAAATTGATAAATGTCACATATGAAAAACCCTCAGCCAACATCATACTGAGTGGGGAAATCATAAAAATCATTTCCTTTGAAATCAGCAGTGATATTAGAGTGTTTACTTTCACTATCATTCAATATAGTACTTGAAACTTTCAATCAGATCACAGAATAAAGCAAAATGAAAAAAAGTAGGAAAGGAAGACATTAAATTAAACCTATTTGAAGATAAAAAGTTTTTACAAAAAATACCCCCAAAAATAACAAGTTGAAGATTTCTAGATCTGAAAAGTAAATTCATTAAATTGCAGGATACAAAATACACACATGAATATTAATAGTGTTTCTGTATACTAGTAATGATCCCACCAAAAAGAAAAATCTGGAAAAGGGTTCCACTGTAGATAACTTCAAGCAAGGACCTAGTTACAGAACTCTGAGCAAAGAAATTAAAGAACGTATTTGGAAATTGGTGAGTTAACTATTGTTGTACTCACAAAATTAATATTGTTCATTTGGTCACATTACCAAAAACAATCAATATATTCATGGCAATTCTTACTTTAACAACAATAATGTTCTTCATAAAAATAGAAAAAATCTATAATTCAAAGGCAACAAGGAGAAATAAAAGTATAATCAAAGCAAATCTGGGTCAAAAAGGGCAAAGCAGGAAGCATAGTATATTTCAAGTTGTACTAAAAAGCTAGAAAAAAAATTGTACCAGCACAAAATATACACAGACCAATAGACTAGAACAGAAACAACCACAGGCACTAATACTCATTTGACTGTTTACAAAGGGACAAGAAGTTCACTTAGAGGGTAGATAGCCTCTCCAACAAATGATGTTCAGGAAACTTGTTATTTATATGGGGTAGATGGAAACTCTCATTCTGTATTAAAATATAATGGATCAACGATTTAAGGTTAAAACAGAATCACTTGATCTGCTCAAAGGTAAAATAGAAGATAACGCTAATGAATATATAGGCATAAGCAAGAACTTTCTAAACAGAAACCCAATGGCACAAGAAA